GTTAGTTCTAGTGGCTATGTTGACTATGAGGTGACAACAATGTAAGCTGTGTGTAGCAGTTAGCAGTCATGATATGAAAGTTTGGCTTGGAAAGTGTTTTTTGCCTGGTCACAGACAGCAGATGTGTTGTGCACTGAAGTCCACAAGCAAAGGGAAAAGGCCAGAGGAGGAGAGCGCGTAGATAGTTGCAAGAAGGAATTATATATACAAGGAGCAAAGTAAGCATGCTGTTTTTATATGGCTGCTATGAAAGTGAACTGTGTTTGGGTGTGATCAGGGATTCATTCTGTCACGTTCGTCGAGGAGTGAAGGAGACCAAGGCGCAGCGAGTGAAAAGAACATGTTGACTTTATTTACTTAAAGCAACCAAAAACAACAAACCAAAGCGACGAATGTGAAGTTCAATAGTGACAAAGACTAAACAGGAACAAAAACCCACAATTCCCACAGGAAAACATTTAGATTAAATATGGCTCCCAATCAGAGATAACGAGCCGACAGCTGACACTCGTTACCTCCGATTGGGAGTCATAGACCAAACCTAGAAATACACCCACAGAAATGCAAACATAGAAATACAAAACCAAAACCCAACAAAACAAAATACACCCTGGCTCAAATACAAAAGTCCCAGAGCCAGAGTGTCACAGTACCCCCCCCTAAAGGTGCGCACTCCGGGCGCACCAGCATACAGTCTAGGGGAGGGTCTGGGTGGGCGTCTGTCCACGGTGGCGGTTCTGGCCCTGGTCGTGGTCCCCACCCCACCTTAGTCACTATCCGCCTCCGTAGCTCGCTCCATGCACGCCCCAACTAAACCCCACTGGATTAAGGGTCTGGCACCGGACTAAAGGGCAGCACGGACTAAGGGGCCACGGACTAGGGCAGTACGGAGCTCAGGGGCAGCACAGGATAAGGGGCGCACGGGCTAAGGGACGCACGGACTCAATGGCGGCTCTGGATGGCTGCTCTGGCGGATCCTGGCTGGACGGCTCTGGCGGTCCGGCTGGACGGCTCATGGCTGGCTGAAGGATCTGGCTGCTCATGGCTGGCCGACGGATCTGGCTGCTCATGGCTGGCCGACGGATCTGGCTGCTCATGGCTGGCTGAGGATCTGGCTGCTCATGGCGGCGACGGATCTGGCTGCTCATGGCTGGCTGACGGATCTGGCTGCTCATGGCTGGCTGACGGATCTGGCTGCTCATGGCTGGCCGACGGATCTGGCTGCTCATGGCTGGCTGACGGATCTGGCTGCTCATGGCTGGCTGACGGATCTGGCTGCTCATGGCTGGCTGAGGATCTGGCTGCTCATGGCTGGCCGACGGATCTGGCTGCTCATGGCTGGCCGACGGATCTGGCTGCTCATGGCTGGCGAAGGATCTGGCTGTCATGGCAGGCTGACGGATCTGGCTGCTCATGGCTGGCTGACGGACGCTGCTATGGCTGGCGAGGTCCGGTCTGGCTGCGGACGGATCTGGCGGGCTCATGGCGCGGGCGGCTTGGCTGCCTGGTGGCTGACGGATTGGTGTCATGGCGGCCGACGGATTGGCTGCTCAGGGTCGGCCGACGGATCTGGTGTCATGGTGGCCGACGGATGGCTGCTAGGTGGTGACGGATTGGCTGGTATGGTGCTGACGGATCTGGTGTACAGGGCTGGCCACGGATCTGAGGGCTATGGTGGGGAAGGCTACTGGTGTCATGCTGGGAAGGCCTGGTGAACTGTTGGCGACGACTCAAAGCGGCTCGGGCGGGGACGGCTGAAGGTCATGGCAGACGGGCGGCTTAGCGCCTTTGGGCAGACGGGCAGTTCAGGCCCCGTTGGGCAGACGGCAGACTCTGGCCGTCTGAGGCGCACCGTAGGCCTGGTGCGTGGTGCCGGAACTGGAAGTACCGGGCTGAGGACACGCATCTCAGGGCTAGTGCGGGGAGAAGCAACAGGGTATGCTGGACCCTGGGAACGCACATAAAGCCTAGTGCGGGGAGAAGGAACAGGGCATGCTGGACCCTGGGGACGCACATAAGGCCTAGTGCGGAGAGCAGCAACAGGACGCACAGGACTCGGGGAACACACAGGAGGCTTGGTGCGTGGTGTAGGCACTGGTGGTACTGAGCTGGAGCGGGGAGGTGGCGCCGGAAATACCGGACCGTGCAGGCTTACTGGCCTCCTTGAGCACTGAGCCTGCCCAACCTTACCCGGGTTGATGCTCCCCGTCGCCCGACCAGTACGGGGAGGTGGAATAACCCGCACCGGCCTATGTGGGCGAACCGGGAACACCATGCGTAAGGCTGGTGCCATGTACGCCGGCCCGAGAAGACGCACTGGTAGCCGGATGCGTTGGGCCGGCTTCATGACATCTGGCTCAACGCTCACTCTAACCCGGCCGATACGTGGAGCTGGAATGTACCGAACCGGGCTATGCCTGCGTACAGGAGACACCATGCGCTCTACTGCGTAACACGGTGTCTGCCCGTACTCTCGCTCTCCACGGTAAGTCCAGGGAGTAGGCGCAGGTCTCCTACCTGACTTCGCCACACTCCATTTAAGCCCCCCCCCCAATAAATTTTTGGGTAGTACCCACGGGCTTCCAGCCTTGACTCCGTGCTGCCTCCTCATACCGCCTCCTCTCGGCTTTAGCTGCCTCCAGCTCTTCACGAGGGCGGCGATACTCTCCCGGTTGTGCCCAAGGACCCTTTCCAGCCAGTATCTCCTCCCATGTCCATGAATCCTTTATAGGCGTCCATGAATCCTTAGGCGCAGGGTCCCGTTGCCGCTTGACACGCTGCTTGGTCCTATGATGGTGGGTTTTTCTGTCCCGTGGGTCTATGTCGTCCAAGTATGACCAAGGCGCAGCGAGTGAAAAGAACATGTTGACTTTATTTACTTAAAGCAACCAAAAACAACAAACCAAAGCGACGAATGTGAAGTCCAATAGTGACAAAGACTAAACAGGAACAAAAACCCACAATTCCCACAGGAAAACATTTAGATTAAATATGGCTCCCAATCAGAGATAACGAGCCGACAGCTGACACTCGTTACCTCCGATTGGGAGTCATAGACCAAACCTAGAAATACACCCACAGAAATGCAAACATAGAAATACAAAACCAAAACCCAACAAAACAAAATACACCCTGGCTCAAATACAAAAGTCCCAGAGCCAGAGTGTCACACATTCCTCCGATTCTGTTGAAAAATGTTTTTTTAAACAGAAGCGAACAGAATGAAACGAGGATAAACATACCTGAATTTTTCCAATAGAAACTCTCATTTGCAACTGTTGGACTAATGATTACATCCTAGATCAGCTACATGCAGGCAAGAGTGTGCAAGGCGGTATTTAATGTGTCACTGTCTGTCAACTTGTAGCAACCTCATGATGGGTACAGGGAAAATTTGAGTATCATGTAGTAGCCTAAACCTATCGATGTTACATTGAGCGGGGTGAATGGAATATGAATGACAGTCATCCAATATGCTGTAATATGAAAACATAAATCATCCGCCCTCATCTTAAATGGCACTGACTGCCACTGTAGCCTACATAATGTTGCTGCACTGAAAGAATAGCGGCCACATAGAGAGGGAAATACTATCGAATTGCCTTGATAAGCACAATCTCCTTGCTCATGTCATCGAGAAACATTGACACTTACAGTATCTGTTCTACATTACTAGAGTAGTATTACCTTTGTATCGATGCATATGGCCTAACACACTTCCTCCTTGTATGGATTGATGATTTCTCCTTGATTGGTGTGTGCACCAACCGCACAGGCTCTGCCGTGCTGGCATAGTACTCCTGAGACTAATCCTATAAGCTAGCTAGCTTTGTAGCTGGCTTTGACTAATAACAGTAAAGCATGCAAATTGATTGATCCTCGCAATCAAATAACTTCAAATGAAACCAGCGGCCACCAAACATTGCAACATGAAGCATATGAACACAGCTGCAGGGCAGCATTAGCATGTCACCAAGAACACCAGCGCATAGGAGAAAATGCAGCCGCACATTATCGAGGAACCAACAGCAGTAGAGGCAGCAGAGAATTAGTGAGTTAACTGATCAGCAAAAATAGACCACATTAAGATAGAAAGTGTTTGTAGAATATTGGTGCGACGTCAGCTGATGCATCGCTGAAGCCAACTCGGGTTCCCTGTCTGAAAAAATCTCCAATTAGATTGAACTGATTAAAATAATACACTTGGGGCTCTTTCTGTTTAGTTAAGATAATTTTTTGTAATATATGTATATTTTTTTGGGCCAAGTCGTTTGATATAATTTCCACATCAGTAATGATATTGTGTATGGTAATTATACAAGATAAGTTCCCTGCTTAAAACTACTTTAGTGATTTAAGGCGAACACATGGAGTAGAGCTTGAACCAGTTACTCTGTTGAACTACCTGCTGTGCCGTGAAGGTTCAGACCTTTTTGTAGAGGCTGTCGTTTGCTTGCATACAGGGAGGCAACACTATGGCTACATTTACACAGGCAGCACAATTCTGATATGTTTTCCACTAATTGCTATTTTTACCAATCAGATCAGATCTTTTCACATCAGATCTTTTCACAATTGATCTGATTGGTGAAAAGATAAATTACTGAAAAAAATATCAGAAATGGGCTGCCTGTGTAAACGTACATCCTGAGCAGGTTTGACCAAGTTACAAAACACCAAATGGAGTAGTAATAGTAATCCATCTGAAAACAAGGGAGGACATTTTCAATAAAACAGAGGAAAAAGTCGAAAAAGCAGATAAAGAGGACTTGACAACAATAATAATGAAGAGGAAGAAATATATGGGTGGAGATGTGGAGGGAGGGGTTCAGAATCCAGGAGAGCCGCTATTTTTTAAATTTTATTATAACAAGGGAGGGATCCCTTTCTGAGATCTTATAAAGTCGACACACAGGCCCTCCTTGACACACATTCCTAGTCAGCCCTGCGCCTCTGCCACTGACCCTGTTCTCACTGGACAACCCTGTCACAGCTCTATCATGGGAAAACAGAAGGCACTTATGGACAAGCTAGCGAGGACGTTTCAGATCCGCCACATGCTGCTATGCCAGGCTCTGGCAGAGTGCTTGGGAACCCTGATACTGGTGGTGAGTGGGGACTGTTCTACATTACTAGTAGTATTAGCTATGTACATAAAAACCCTTCTCTTGAGTCTAAGAGGGCGATATCTACTAAGCTAACATATGGAATTGTTTTAAGATGGTCATACCATGGATCATTTAGCTATTTGATTTCAAATTTTGGGGCCCTTGTAGGTATATAAAAAAAAGATATTTAAAAATGTTGATGAAACATTAAATTTGGCCTTACTGCTATTAGCCCATAGAAACGCATTGAATAACACATTCATACATGGCAAAACAGATAGTCAAAAAATCGATCAAAAGGAAGTATGTTTTGAAGTGTTTTTCCTATATCTTAGACCCATATTCAACCCTTTTAGTTTTGGCACATTCTACCCCTTATTCACTTCTATTCATTTGTACCACCCAGTACCAGGTTACTTTCAGACAAGTCTAATTAATATTGTGGGTGTCATAGAGCAAAACAGCTAACATGTCTGTGTTCGTGAGAGTCTCAGCTTTCGATAGTCCAAATAGCTAAAAACGTTGACTTTACAGACGTTTTTGTGAAAATGAACTTTTCGGCATCCTCTCATGTCTGACAAACACCCATCTCGGGAAGCGGAGGCACACCAGCAGATTCAGTGGATTGAGATGCAGCTCATGCAAAAAACAGGAAGTCTCTAGCTTAAACACACATAATGGGATGATGTCACCGGACATTGACCTCAGAGGGTTATGAGTGTGTGAATGTCAATAGGAAATACAGTGCCATACTATCATTAGCTATCCAACAAGTTGGAGCTGATTGACAGCTTGTGGGTGTGAAAAGAATGTCCTCCAAAATCTGGATGAAGCACATAATTAACCCAAGAGATTGTTCATTAAGTATTTAAAATCCTCTGATGACTTAATTCCTGGTTTTATAATGAATTTCACATTCATCTATCTCACTTGTAATGGATGATCTCAATCTAAATGTGATGTTTAAAGCAGTGCTTTGAGCTTGGGTGTGAATGTAAATGGTTAGCTCTTCCCACGTTGTTTGCATTACCTGCACAACCAGAACTGACACTGTGTAAATTATATTATCAGCTTTTTAATATTATTTTATTATCACATTTTAATGAACCTCTCAAGTCTTCGACATGAAAATAAACATCCTTTACTTTAAATTGGACATTTAAATAACTTTCTGTTTTCCATATAGCAAGGTATTACATAATTATGAATACTTCCTTGTTGATATTACATTCCATATTTACATGGATTCACTGTATCTATCTGTAAAATATACAAATGGATTAAACGGTAACATGATCTATAATTAATGCACAAACATATTCACCTGCATACTGCTTTAGGGATAACTCAAAACCTAGCCTATATGAGACAAACCTACGGACTAGAATATAATTGTATACTGTCCTCCAAGGTGAAAGATAATTGTCATGGAACCAACTCGTCCACGTATGTAACCGAAGGCACTGGCAGCCTCATTGGTATCCAGCTCAATCCAAATAAAACATGTGAGATTAATACACAAACAGCTACCTGGGATCAACTGTTTCCAATGGTAACCCCCACACAGAACAACAACAGTAGTTGGAGAGAAGATACGAGCTGAGAGGGGGTAGTCATGCCATCTGGTATTTTCCCAGCCTGCAGCGTGAGGTCTAACTGATGCCTGATCCGCTGTTTGGCCACACTACTGAGTGAAGACTTATGACCCCCTGGCAAACAGAACTCCCCTGGCCCTGACTGCCTGAATGCAGGTATTCTCTGCTCTAAAGAAGGCTCCACAGGTAGATATCTACCTAGGATCTTCAATAGCCACCATAACCCACCCACCACAACACACTCTTGATCAAATGCATATAGAAAGCTTTATATCTTCCAAAGGAAACTGGGCACACATGTATGTTTCTGTATGATCCACCATGTAGCTTTGTTGAAAATATGACCTGCCCACGCCAGGTAATCAGCCAACCAGCGGCCACCACTGCACACCACCACGGCCCCTGGGCTTCGCAGCAAACCCATATCAACACACACACACCACCCATTGGCTCCGTAGCACATTCAAAACGACACAAGCACGGCTTCTTGGGTCAATGGAAGCCACACCTCAGTCAAGATCCGTAGTAGGCTAAATGGCCACATGCATGGCACAGCAAGAGGGGTGGTACTCGGGTCAATCGGTTGGAGGTGTTAATCATCTTGGGTGACCTATTTTCTACCCTATGTCTGTATATCTGAGCGCTATACAGAGCTAAAGTTGGAAAAGTCTTAAAACTCATTTGAGATGAGTAGTAGACCACCGCTAGACCACAGGCATATTTGGGATCCTGAGTGCACAAGGCACTCAGACAAAAGTTGATTGAAAAACTATTTTGGCCCGACAACAAGCTGACTAAAGCAGAAAGAGACTGGACTGGAACAGGCTATTCTCTATCCATCCTCCATTCTCACTAATCTACACAGAAAATGTTATAGACAGACAGTCTACCCAGGTAGTTACAGACTGTCTGAATGTGATGCGCATGCCATAGTAAACTTGTTGATGATGAAGATGGTTATGATGAAGATGACCCTTATATATAGTGTATCCCTTTATGGGGGGATTAGTGTAAACATCAACAAGATGTAACACAACACCACACTACAAAGTTCACATGGGTTTGGTAACCCATGCAGGGTGTCTCTTGTCTCACCTGTCTCTCTCCCATCTCTGTAGATGTTTGGCTGTGGTGCGGTAGCCCAGCTGGTGCTGAGTGGTGGCTCCCATGGAATGTTCCTCACCGTCAACTTTGCCTTTGGCTTCGCTGCCACATTGGGCATACTGGTCAGCGGACAGGTCTCAGGTGAGGGGGGCACGTTATTACTCTTACTTCCTCTGAAATCAAAGGTCAGAACAAGAAGAGGTTTCATTAGTCCAGACATTCCTCTCTGATAGTAGCAAGTCTATTGGGAGTGATCAGTTAACTATTGTGACAGACACATTCTACCTAAGGTAAACTAACAGTAATCTCAAGTGCAATACTTAGAGACAGAGACAGAGAGAGAGAGAGAGAACAGCAAACAGTGGAAATCCGAGAGGCATACAGAGAAACAGAGAATGACACTCGCTTGCCTCTCGAATCTCAAAGTTATTTGGTCCATGATTGAAAGGAAATTGTGAAGCTGCGTTATTTCTTTATTCACTATACAAGCAAATCAAAAAGCAGGCAGCACAGAGAGTTCCGCAGTTCACTTGTGCCCACGTCTTCAATGCCTTTATAATGAGGCTGTTGTCACGTTGGTTAATGATTAGAAGGCAGGCGCAGGAATACATATTAGGGGTTTTGTTACTCCACCCAACACAAACACGTATGTATATACAGTGGGGGAAAAAAAGTATTTAGTCAGCCACCAATTGTGCAAGTTCTCCCACTTAAAAAGATGAGAGAGGCCTGTAATTTTCATCATATGTACACGTCAACTATGACAGACAAATTGAGAAAAAAACGTCCAGAAAATCACATTGTAGGATTTTTAAGGAATTTATTTGCAAATTATGGTGGAAAATAAGTATTTGGTCACCTACAAACAAGCAAGATTTCTGTCTCTCACAGACCTGTAACTTCTTCTTTAAGAGGCTCCTCTGTCCTCCACTCGTTACCTGTATTAATGGCACCTGTTTGAACTTGTTATCAGTATAAAAGACACCTGTCCACAACCTCAAACAGTCACACTCCAAACTCCACTATGGCCAAGACCAAAGAGCTGTCAAAGGACACCAGAAACAAAATTGTAGTCCTGCACCAGGCTGGGAAGACTGAATCTGCAATAGGTAAGCAGCTTGGTTTGAAGAAATCAACTGTGGGAGCAATTATTAGGAAATGGAAGACATACAAGACCACTGATAATCTCCCTCGATCTGGGGCTCCACGCAAGATCTCACCCCGTGGGGTCAAAATGATCACAAGAACGGTGAGCAAAAATCCCAGAACCACACGGGGGGACCTAGTGAATGACCTGCAGAGAGCTGGGACCAAAGTAACAAAGCCTACCATCAGTAACACACTACGCCGCCAGGAACTCAAATCCTGCAGTGCCAGACGTGTCCCCCTGCTTAAGCCAGTACATGTCCAGGCCCGTCTGAAGTTTTCTAGAGTGCATTTGGATGATCCAGAAGAGGATTGGGAGAATGTCATATGGTCAGATGAAACCAAAATAGAACATTTTGGTAAAAACTCAACTCGTCGTGTTTGGAGGACAAAGAATGCTGAGTTGCATCCAAAGAACACCATACCTACTGTGAAGGATGGGGGTGGAAACATCATGCTTTGGGGCTGTTTTTCTGCAAAGGGACCTGGACGACTGATCCGTGTAAAGGAAAGAATGAATGGGGCCATGTATCGTGAGATTTTGAGTGAAAACCTCCTTCCATCAGCAAGGGCATTGAAGATGAAACGTGGCTGGGTCTTTCAGCATGACAATGATCCCAAACACACCGCCCGGGCAACGAAGGAGTGGCTTCGTAAGAAGCATTTCAAGGTCCTGGAGTGGCCTAGCCAGTCTCCAGATCTCAACCCCATAGAAAATCTTTGGAGGGAGTTGAAAGTCCGTGTTGCCCAGCGACAGCCCCAAAACATCACTGCTCTAGAGGAGATCTGCATGAAGGAATGGGCCAAAATACCAGCAACAGTGTGTGAAAACCTTGTGAAGACTTACAGAAAACGATTGACCTGTGTCATTGCCAACAAAGGGTACATAACAAAGTATTGAGAAACTTTTGTTATTGACCAAATACTTATTTTCCACCATAATTTGCAAATAAATTCATTAAAAATCCTACAATGTGATTTTCTGGAAAAAAAATTTTTTTCTCATTTTGTCTGTCATAGTTGACGTGTACCTATAATGAAAATTACAGGCCTCTCTCATCTTTTTAAGTGGGAGAACTTGCACAATTGGTGGCTGACTAAATACTTTTTTCCCCCACTGTATACACAAAAGGGATGTAACACAGACAAAGAGCGACGTGTATCCTCTACACAATACACGGGACGAGACCCGCAAACAACCAGAGCACAATACACGGTACTCACGAGACCAACGGACATGGGACAATAATCGACAAGGAACAGAGGGCACATATATCCACATACTAATCAGGGGGAATGGGAAAATGGTTTGCGTAATGAGAAAAGACAGTCTGGGGTTGGTGGTAATGATCCATGTCAGTGACGCCTAGGAAGCCGGTGACGTAGACCTCCGGAACTGGTGAACAGAATGAGTAGCAGTACCGGGGGGATCCGTGACAGTACCACCCCCTGACACGCTGCACCAGCAGCGGGACGACACCAGCCTCGGGGACAACCACAGGGACACAGTGTGGGTCGGTCAGGGCGCCGACGGTGAAAATCCCTGGTCAGAGAAGCGTCCAGGATGTCCACCGCAGGAACCCAGCACCTCTCCTCTGTGCCGTACCCCTCCCAGTCGATGATATACTGGAGACGCCCCGCCCGACGCCTCAAATCCAGGATTTAACGGACAGAGTACGCCGGACATCCCTCTATGTCCCGAGGAGGAGGCGGGACGTCACTGGGTCAAGCCTCAGCGAGGGGACCAGGCACCACTGGCCTGAGGAGAGACACATGAAAAGTCGGGTTAATGCGGTAATAAGCAGGGAGTTGCAAACGGTACTTTACCTCATTAACCCTCCTCAGGACTTTAAACGGCCCCACAAACCGTAGGCTCAGCTTCCGGCAGGGCAAGCGGAGGGGCATGTTCCGGATGGAGAGCCAGACCCGGTCGCCTGGAGAGAAAACAGGTGCCTCACTGCGGAGGCAGTCGGGCCTGTTCCTTGTGCCGACACACAGCCCGCTGGAGACGAGTGTGTGCAGCGTTCCAGATCTCCTCAGCGCACCGAAACCACTCATCCACCGCAGGGGCCTCGGTCTGGCTTGGATGCCAAGGTGCCAGGGCCGGCTGATACCCCAACACGCACTGGAAAGGAGTGAGGTTAGTGGGGGAGTGGCGGAGGGAATTCTGCCCATACTCAACCCAAGATAGAAAATCCGCCCACTCCCCCAGCCGGTCCTGACAGTAACACCTCAGGTACCTGCTCACTTCCTGATTGACCCTCTCCACCCAAACCATTAGCATGAGGATGGTACCCGGGGGTGAGACTGACTGTGACCTCCAGGCGTTCCATGAACGCTTTTCATGCGTGTGAGGTGAACTGAGGACCACGCTCTGGCACAATGTCCTCCGGGATCACGTTGTGCCGGAAGACGTGCGTAAAAAGAGCCTCCGCAGTTTGCATGGCCGACGAGAGCCCAGATAGAGGAAGGAGGCGACAAGCTTTGGAAAACCGGTCCACAACGACGAGAACGGTGGTGTTCCCCTGGGAGGGGGGAAGGTCAGTGACAAAGTCCACCGAGAGGTGTGACCAGGGTCGTTGTGGAACCGACAGAGGAAGGAGCTTTCTATAACAGAGGTGTCTGGGTGTCTTAGACTGGGCACAGATGGAGCAGGAAGAGACGTAAACCCGGATGTCCCTAGCCAAGGTGGGCCACCAGTACTTCTCAGTCAGGCAGGCGATGGTACGGACTATCCCAGGATGACCCGACACAGGCGCCGTGTGCGCCCAGGAAAGGAGGCGGTCCCGCACACCCATGGACACGTAGGCGTGGTTCTCAGGGCACTGTGCAGGTGCGGGTTCCGTACACAGGGCCTGCTGTATGTCGGCGTCCACGTCCCACACCACTGGTGCGATGATACGGAATGGAAGGATGATGGGGGTCTCCTCTTCCTGCCTCTCCTCTGCCTGGGTTGGAGCAGGGGAATTCCCTGGCTTGTCAACTCCTCACCTATTAGTGGATAGATGGCAGGTCGGGGAGAAATGACTACGCCATAGGAGCAGAGGCCCAGATTCCTCCTTCTCCTACGTTCTGCCTCGGGCAAACATGCAGAGCACACCTCCATCGGCTCTGGCCACAGAGCAGGTGTAGCCATGGGCTCCGGATTCCGCAAAGGTCTTCGTCCGGACTGCAGGAGGTTCTCCAACCGGATCGCCATGCTGATGAGCTGGTCAAGTGACAGGTTGTCATCACGGCAGGCTAACTCCATCTGTACCTCCTCCTGCAGTCCGCTGTGGAACACGGTGACCAGAGCCGACTCGTTCCATAAGGTGGAGGCTGCGATGGTCCGGAACTCCAAGGCGAACTCCGAGGCGGTCCTAGATCCCTGGCATAGTCGGAGTAGACGCTCACCCCCCTCTCGGCCCTCCACAGGATGATCAAACACCGAGCAGAAGAGAAGGGTGAAGCGTTCATAGGACTCGACCTCTGGTCCGCCCATCTGGACAGTGCAGAGATGACAATGGCAACCCTGTCTCTCCCGGATACAGCCTTGGTGTAGCGAGCGAGGTACAGGTCGCATTGCAGAAGGAATCCCTTGCATCTCGCTGGCGCACCGTCAAAGTGCTCTGGGAGGGACAGGGGTATTCCGTGGACCGGCTCAGATGGAACGGAAGCAAGTAGTGGTGGTGTGGGGGCTGTTGCCGGAACCAGTGCTGGAGACTGGAGGGACTGCACTTTCCCCTCCAACTGCAGGATGGTTGCCAGCACGCTGTCCATGGCACTGCCGAGTCTGGAGAGACAGTCCTCATGATGCTGGACTGTCTCTACGATGGTCGCCAGCACAGCCATTCCCACTGTCTCAATTTTTTGGGGTCGATTATTCTGTCATGTTGTATAATGATTAGAAGACAGGAGCAGGAATACGTATTAGGGGTTTTATTACTCCACCCAACACAAATTAGGGATCTCCTACCATTCCGCAATTTAAGCTGCAAACACAAGGTGAGAGGAGGGAGACCGACACCCATGTGGATGCGCAGTCTGAACAGTTCATTAGGTATTCTACTTCAAGGTTTTAAAGGGAAAATCTACTGTAGCTTCATGGGATCATTTTCTGGGCCTTTTCATCCCTCAAATGTACTGTGTGTCACAGAGACCTGCCAACCTAACAGGCATTTACTGAGTCTACTATTACGGCAGATAGTCTCGGGTCCTTTTTTCCCCTCTGAGAAAAGGTTTTAAGAGAATCATCTTTAGTCTTGATGTGCTTGGGTTGTTTTCTCTCATTTAGAGAAAAGGAGGAGACTTGGTTTAAAGAGAGATGGTCTTGGATGATTTTTACTCAGAGAAAATGGGATAGAATGAAAGTGAGAAATGGCCATTCACCATTTGCCAAATTGTTCTTTGTCACAGGAGGCCACCTGAACCCAACGGTGACCTTCGCCCTCTGTCTATTGGGGAGAGAACCTTGGAGGAAGTTCCCTGTGTTTTTCTTATTCCAGACTCTGGGGGCCTTCCTGGGATCTGGGATCATATTTGGAATGTATTTTGGTGAGGAGAATTTGAAGAGAAATGTCCAAATAACAAAAACTGTTTTTACAGTGGCTATATTCCACCGAAAACATTCTCCAGACTTTCAACGTTTTATTAAATAACTGTTATTTTCTCCCTAAGGGAGTTTCAAGGTTATACAGCTACTGTAGATGGTACCACACACAATGTGATCTCTTATATGTTGCTGTGGTTTCTCCAGATGCATTGTGGGACTACGGCCAAGGAACGATGATCGTTGTGGGGGAGAATGCAACTGCTGGGATCTTTGCTACCTATCCCTCCAAACATCTCACTCTGGTTAATGGATTCTTTGACCAGGTACATTCACAATATTATAGTATATTAGTGCATCCACATTAGGACAGCCTCTGAATCATACAAAGTTATATGGACTAATGTCCTGTATGGAAACCGTAGTACATAACAACAACAAGCACATTTTTGCAACAAAACACACACAACAACGCCAGGGTTGTGGGTTCGATTCTCACGGGAGGCCAGTATGAAAAATAAAAAAATAATGTATGCACTCACTAACTGTAAGTCGCTCTGGATAAGAGCGGCTGCTAAATGACTAAAATGTAAATGTAACAACCATGTACAACTGAGCCTGGCTGTGTTACAGATTATAGGCACGGCTGCACTGATCATGTGTATCCTGGCCATCGTGGACCCCTACAACAACCCTATCCCCCGGGGCCTGGAGGCCTTCACGGTGGGCTTTGTGGTTCTGGTCATCGGTCTGTCCATGGGCTTCAACTCGGGCTATGCTGTCAACCCTGCCAGAGACCTGGGCCCTCGCATCTTTACTGCCCTGGCTGGCTGGGGTAGTGAGGTCTTCATGTGAGTCTCTTTAGGGTTTTCTCCCGTTTTTTTCTCTTTCTGTGTTTTCTTTCTTTCTAATAATGACTTAAATAAAGCATGTCTTGTGAGAAGTTCTATCTTACCATAAGTTATTAAAGATAATAGCTCTGCTTTCACTATTTACTCTCTATGGACATACAACCTTGTCTCTGTCTTGGTCTCCCACAGGGCTAATTCCTACTGGTTCTTTGTGCCAATCTTTGCCCCCTTCATTGGTGCAGTGGTGGGGGTGATGGTGTACCAGCTGATGGTGGGGTACCATGTGGAAGGAGAAGCACGGGAGAAGAGGGAAGAGGAAGAGAAGGAGGAGCAAGAGGAGATGCTTAAACTGTCCAGCCTTACAACCAAGGAGCGCGCCTGAGTGCATGAATCTTCTTACCTTGACCCATTTTAAACCCTCTCTATGTACATAATATACTGTATGTCTTTGTAGTATCTTCTTACATATTTTATATCTTGCCTTAGTGACAAGCTCATTTCTTTGTGAGGATTAATAAAGTATGATTAGTTAATCAATCAATCAATCAATTATTCATTATATACCACCAGGTTCAACCTCTGAAGACAGTAGGGATCAATAGAGACAGTTTGTCAACAGTACACACACACACACACTGTGTCTGTAGCTTCAGTGTGCGTCTTACGTTCAACATCAGAAACAAGAACAAAACAAAAACATTCTTCCCTTATGCCGCCTTGCTGACAAAACTGATATAGTGATGCTTTGGCACAGAAAAACTGGAAAACAGAAGGCTCAAAGCAGAAGTATCACCTCTCACGCATTTGAAATATGGTGCTGTGTTGAATTTGTGTCAGGATCCAAGAGACGATATGAAACCTAGATAAAGCCATCAAAGGAAATTGAGCACCCAGTTTCACAATTTTTACTATGTTTTGCCCTTATAGTTAGGATTCTGGTTCTACTGAATTCTATATACAAACAACTATAATCTAATTGTACACATATAGTTCAGACACTCTAACCAAGCCATACATTATGTAGTACATGCATTAACATTACAGGGACGCTGCAGCATTGCCAGAATGTATTTATTTTATACCCCTTTTTTCTCCCCAATTTCGTGGTATCCCAGACACGGGAGAGGCGAAGGTCAAGAGCCATGCGTTCTCCGAAACACAACCCAACCGAGCCTGACTGCTTCTTGACACAATGCCCGATTAACCCGGAAGCCAGCCACACCAATGTGTCAGAGGAAACACTGTACACCTGGCGACCGTAACAGTGTGCACAGCCCGCCACAGGAGTCTCTAGTGCACGATGGGACCAGAACATCCCTGTCGGCCAAACCCTCTCCTACCCTGGACGAATTGTGTGCCGCTCCAGGCGACAGAGCTTGGACTCGAACCAGGATCTCTAGTGGCACAGCTAGCACTGCGATGCAGTGCCTTAGACCACTGCACCACTCGGGAGGCCTAGCATTGGCAGTATTATACTACTATCATAATAAATGTGAGTGAGATCTATCAAAGCGCTATGCTGAACAGATTACTAAAATCTTTACCACCACTTTCATGTTCTTTCCCTCAGCTCAGCAGTCTCACTTGTGATATGCTAGGTTTTTCCACCTGTTAATTTCTACCAGATGTGTAACATATGCTCCTGTGTTTCTGGGACCTGAGCCAAATATAACTTTGGACTGCTTTACGGTAAACCATGAGAAAAAGAGCCAAGACGAACAGTTGACTGCTTCAAGCAAACCTTCAGTAGCCTGAATAGCCCTTTACACTCACACCCGTATACACTCTTAGAAAAAAGGGTTCCAAAAGGGTTCTTCAGCTGTCCCCATAGGACAACCCTTTTTTGGTTCCAGGTAGAACCCTTTTGGGATCCAAGTAGAGCATTCTGTGGAAAGGGTTCTACATGGAACCGAAAAGGGTTCTACCTGGAACCAAAAATAGTTATTCAAAGGGTTCTCCTATGGGGACAGCCGAAGAACCCTTTTAGGTTCTAGATAGCACCTTTTTTCTAAGAGTGTATGGGTTGAAAATGGCAGATTTGGGAACTGCGCCTAAATTGTAACGCAGTGGCTATAATGCTTTAAATGATGTCAGATTTCAGGCTCTGCGCTTTAAAGCACTGTATGGGTTTTGACTGTCAGCCGTTCTGAAGCACCGCACATGAAAATAATTCCTCCCGCTAACTGGGTAACTTTTTTTGCAAATGTTTTGTTGTCTGAGTGAGGGAAATGCTGTAAATTAAGAGGACTCGATGTACACTGAACAAAAATATGAACACGACATTTAAAGTGTTGGACCCATGTTTCATGAACTGAAATAAAAAATACCTGAAATGTTCCATACTCACAAAAATGTTATTTCTCTCAAATGTTGTACACAAATGTGTTTACATCCCTGTTAGTGAGCATTTCTCCTTTGCCAAGATAATCCATACACCTGACAGGTGTGGCATATGAAGAATCTGATTAAACAGCATGATCATTACACAGGTGCACCTTGTGCTGGAGACAATAAAAGGCCACTTAAAAATGTGCAGTTTAGTCACACAACACCATGCCACAGATGTCTCAAGTTTTGAGGGAGAGTGCAATTGGCATGCTGACTGCAGGAATGTCCACCAGAGCTGTTGCCAGAGAATTGAATGTTCGTTTCTCTACCATAAGCTGCCTCCAACGTGGGGGTGGGGGGGTGCAGAGGAGTATTTCTGTCTGTAATAAAGCAATTTTGTAGGGAAAAACTCATTCTGATTGGCTGGGCCTGGCTCCCCAGTGGGTGGGCCTTGCTGCTAAGTGGGTGGGCCTATGCCCTCCAAGGCTCACCCATGGCTACACCCCTGCCCAGTCATGTGAAATCCATAGATTATTTCAATTGATTGATTTCCTTATATGAACTGTAACTCAGTAAAATCTTTGAAATTGTTGCATGTTGCGTTTATATTTTTGTTCAGTATATTTCGAAAGATGAGATGTTGAGGATTATAATAAATACCGCTTTGATGTCATACAAGCAAGCCAAACACAGTGAGTCCAAATCTGCACTTCTCATATTATAAAACTCATGTCATATACAGTGTAAACGTTTATGATTTTACTAGATGCTCTTATCCAGAGCGACTTACAGTTAGTGCATACATTTTCATACTGGTCCCCCGTGGGAAACGAACCCACAACCCTGGCGTTGCAAGTGCCATGCTCTACCAACTGAGCTACAGGGGACTCATGATCATTATGTTTGATATGTTTGTACATTTGAAAGATGACATGGCGTCATACCCTGGGTTGTTCTGAACAGAATGAGCCTATGTTTGTCTATAGTGAAGAAAATATGCCTATATGACTATTTCCTATACAAATCAAATGAAATTGTATTTGTCAAATGAGCCATATACAACAGGAGTAGACTTTACCAAGAAATGCGGAGGAATGAAATGGAGCTACAGTGGGGGAAAAAAGTATTTAGTCAGCCACCAATTGTGCAAGTTCTCCCACTTAAAAAGATGAGAGGCCTGTAATTTTCATCATAGGTACACGTCAACTATGACAGACAAATTGAGAAAAACTTTTCCAGAAAATCACATTGTAGGATTTTTAATGAATTTATTTGCAAATTATGGTGGAAAATAAGTATTTGGTCACCTACAAACAAGCAAGATTTCTGGCTCTCACAGACCTGTAACTTCTTCTTTAAGAGGCTCCTCTGTCCTCCACTCGTTACCTGTATTAAAGGCACCTGTTTGAACTTGTTATCAGTATAAAAGACACCTGTCCACAACCTCAAACAGTCACACTCCAAACTCCACTATGGCCAAGACCAAAGAGCAGTCAAAGGACACCAGAAACAAAATCGTAGACCTGCACCAGGCTGGGAAGACTAAATCTGCAATAGGTAAGCAGCTTGGTTTGAAGAAATCAACTGTGGGAGCAATTATTAGGAAATGGAAGACATACAAGACCACTGATAATCTCCCTCGATCTGGGGCTCCACTCAAGATCTCACCCCGTGGGGTCAAAATTATCACAAGAACGGTGAGCAAAAATCCCAGAACCACACAGGGGGACCTAGTGAATGACCTGCAGAGAGCTGGGACCAAAATAACAAAGCCTACCATCAGTAACACACTACGCCACCAGGAACTCAAATCCTGCAGTGCCAGACGTGTCCCCCTGCTTAAGCCAGTACATGTCCAGGCCCGTCTGAAGTTTGCTAGAGTGCATTTGGATGATCCAGACGAGGATTGGGAGAATGTCATATGGTCAGATGAAACCAAAATAGAACATTTTGGTAAAAACTCAACTCGTCGTGTTTGGATGACAAAGAATGCTGAGTTGCATCCAAAGAACACCATACCTACTGTGAAGCATGGGGGTGGAAACATCATGCTTTGGGGCTGTTTTTCTGCAAAGGGACCAGGACGACTGATCCGTGTAAAGGAAAGAATGAATGGGGCCATGTATCGTGAGATTTTTAGTGAAAACCTCCTTCCATCAGCAAGGGCATTGAAGATGAAACGTGGCTGGGTCTTTCAGCATGACAATGATCCCAAACACACCGCCCGGGCAACGAAGGAGTGGCTTCGTAAGAAGCATTTCAAGGTCCTGGAGTGGCCTAGCCAGTCTCCAGATCTCAACCCCATAGAAAATCTTTGGAGGGAGTTGAAAGTCCGTGTTGCCCAGCGACAGCCCCAAAACATCACTGCTCTAGAGGAGATCTGCATGGAGGAATGGGCCAAAATACCAGCAACAGTGTGTGAAAACCTTGTGAAGACTTACAGAAAACGTTTGACCTGTGTCATTGCCAACAAAGGGTATATAACAAAGTATTGAGAAACTTTTGTTATTGACCAAATACTTATTTTCCACCATAATTTGCAAATAAATTCATTACAAATCCTACAATGTGATTTTCTGGATTTTTTTTCTCATTTTGTCTGTCATAGTTGACGTGTACCTATGATGAAAATTACAGGCCTCTCTCATCTTTTTAAGTGGGAGAACTTGCACAATTGGTGGCTGACTAAATACTTTTTCCCCCCACTGTATATACAGGGAGTACCAGTACCAGATCAATGTGCATGGGTACGAGATATTTGAGGTAGATGTGTACATGAAGGCAGGGTAAAGTTACTAGGCATCAGGATAGATTGTAATAAGAGTAAAATAAAGAAAAGAGTATCAGCAGCATATGATGAGTGTAAAAGTGTGTGTGTGTATGTGTTGTGTTGGTATGTGTGTGTGTTATGTGTGTGTGCATGTAGTGTATGTGAATGTGTGTGGGTTTTGTGTGAGAGTGTCAGTGTAGTGTGTGTGTGAGTGAGTGTGTATATGGTGTGTATATATAGTCTTGTGAGTGTGCATAGAGTCAGTGCAAGATAGGGACAGCGCA